AGCAACCTGTCAAGTGTGTATCTCCTAATATAACTTGTACAGAGGGTTTGCAAGTTTCACATAAACCCCAAACCCCAAACCCTAAACCCTAAACCCTAGCCTTGGAGATGAGCATAGCTAAAGGGATGCCAGGGCAGCCGTGGAGGCCAATACCGCCAGGAAACCAAGTGCCCTGACTGGGTTTAGGCTTTAGGATCTAGGGTTCAGGTTTTAGGGTTTAGGCTTTAGGGCTGAAGGCTAAAGGCATTGAGGGTGGCCTGTCTCGTAGGCCCAAAAGGCGAATCAATGAACATGTATGAGCTGAAATCTAACCTCCTAAAAAGGGGCTCATTGGGGAGTTATATAGGGGAAGTATTACAAAGGTTACTAAGGGGGGTTACTAGGAATTTAGACGCTAGCTCATATGAGGATAATAGGGGATGACAAGAGAACATTTGCATTATATAGGGCTACATAAGTCATGTAAGAGACCTGCCTTGAATGATATGAGGACTCTTTATATGATTCAAAGTATATTTCCTAATTCCGGGCTAGTGGGCTCTTTTGGCTTCAGGTGAAGCACGTAGGGCTCACTGGCCGGAAATTGGGATTTTGTACCAGTTGAGGGTTTCTACTTGGGGTTCAGCAGGACTTTATGAGTACGTTAACAATGGGGATAAGTAGGGTCACTAATAGCTTGTAGGGCTTACTCACCTACTTACCAGATCCCCCTGACCGGTGGTTACCTTCATAAAAAGCTTGATCAGTAACGAGCACGCGCCAGTTGGGCGTTTTTGATTCTGCTTCTCTGCTGCCTGTGCGCTGAGAAAGCGTACGTATCAGCAAATTGGGCCAATCAAGGGCAGTTACCTCAAGGTTTCGGGTTGTTGTACCTTGCATCAGGCTGATTGAAGGAATTTGCATCTGGAAGAGGCCTGAGCTGAACACTACTGACCATCAGTCGGCACGGACTATGTAGACACCCAGCTCCCTCGCAAACTCCTGCCCAAACCCTGGAAATCTAGATCCTGTACTCACCCAAAACCTTATGCCCCTGAATCCCAAAACCGTAAACTCTACACCAGAGAACCCTAGACACTACTATAATCCCTAGCCTTATACAAGGCCTGCCTAATCCCCATCAGAGCCCTATAGAACCCATATACAACCCCTACTATAGGTTATAAACATGTACGTTAACCATCTTAAACAGCTGCCTTGGGCAAGGAGGTGGCGGGGCACTCCACAAAACGGTCTGGATTGAAGCTCAAGGGATCTGGGTGCAGCTCCGGATCCTCAAGGGAAACTTTGGGGCTTCAGGTTTAGGTGACAAATAATAATAGTAGTACTAACATAGGGTAATATAGCAATAGTAGTATTAACGGTGTAGGGCTTACGGCCCACCATATAGACATCATGTGCTACCGTCATTAACGGAAAAAGATTACTACAATTTCAACGTTGTGGAACTGTTACAACGTTAGGACAGTGTCCAAGGTGTAAGGCTCAGGGTTTGGGCCTGAAGGCACAAAATTTCGAGGTTGCAGGTTAACCTGAGACCCCTGATTAATACACCCTCTCCCCTTAATAGGGGTCTTCAAGAATTGCACAACAGCTTGCAACCCAAGTCCAGTGCACACAAAGTCACAAGACGAGTATGTTTTGCAACAGCAATCTAGTCTGTAGCGCTTCGGGCTTTGTCCCTCCCTTTTGGGCCAAGCGGCACACACAGTATGCGCCTCTGTGCAGTGCTTGGCAACGTCGAAAGCCTGGCAGGACTTTCACACGGGCGGAAAAGAGCCAGCTGGAAAAAAGAGAGATTAAAAGCCTGGCCTTCTCCTGCCCACGTGGGTCCAGGGGTTGCCCTTCACTGCAACCGAAAGAAGAGAAGTGCTTGAGAAGCTTCTTGCATCTCAAGCCAGGTTGGCCGCAAGTGGCCACACACAGTCTCTGCACGGTGTCAGCTGTCTTGGCCTTCGGCCTTGCACGTGCCCACACGTATCACTTGAGTGAACTGTGGTCCCGTGAGCTGGGCAGACAAAGAAGGTGTCTGGAAGGACTCTCATGCCACGAAGCACATTGATGTGCTGAGCTTGACTCAGATGGACTCTGCGCAGGCCTGCCATCTCCTCCTTCATGTCGGTGATGGTCTGTGCCTGGTTTCGGTGAAGTCGTCGGACTCCAGCAAGCTCACGCTTAAGGTCCTCGAGGTCGGCGTCGCTTTGGGCCAGCATGCTTTCAGCCATCTGGACCTTCAACTCCATGGCCACGAAGTCGGAGAGCAACAGAGATTCAGACTGAATCTCAACATCCCTGGTCGGGACAGCTTGCGGTCTAGGAAGCGGTCTGCGTGTCAGCCAACCACGAAGAAGCCAACCAAGAGCGAAGGCGACGATGAAGATCACCAGGATCGTGCAAAGGAAGCCGTCGTCAAGGTCCAGGAAGAGGAGGAACGTGCTGTAGCTCTCGAAAGACTCTGTGAGGTTCGTGTCCAGGGCATCTGCTCCTTCAACGACGCAGCTTGCAGCAAGGATCGCCGAGATCTTCCTTGCTGCGCGGGAGCCGTAAGCTCTCCCTCCGAAAGCCTCGCGAGTTGCCTTCTCGCGCTCTTGTACGGTCTTCTTCTTGGCCGCCTGGAAAGTGGGGTCGAACTTCAAGCAAAGCTTACCCGACGCCATTTGGTCCACCAACTGTTGGTGGGCTCCGAGCTTTGTGAGGCCGTCAGCCAGCATCACTTCGGAACTCACCCACCTCGAAACAGCAGCTTGTCGTTTCAGCTCGTCCTGGACGCAAAGGATCTCGATGGCCGTCAGCTGAAGCCATTCTTCTGAAGGGCATCGTAGAGGGCCCTCGCATCCATGAATGTAGCAGCTGAACCAAGTTGAGCTGTCTCAGGAGCACGAGGGTCTTGGCCAGGATACACCGTGAGGGAGATGAGGGTGCGAACAAGCATCATCTCGTCCATGGCTGAGGCTAAGGACTGTGCTTCGGCCACCAGGGAACTGCGGCACACTCTCGTGAGCTTTTAAAGGAGCGCCAGCTGAGCACGTTGTAGTACACCTGCTTGCCTTCAAGCGCCACCTTGTTGGTCAGGAGAACAAAGAAGCCGCCTTGCGAGCTACCATCTGAACGCACTCCAAAAGCCGCGTCCGAGAAGGCAATGAAGCACAGGTCGTCAAGCGAGTTCGCAACCTTGGTCATCTGAAGCTTCACCTCGGAGGCCTGTTTGCCGAAACGAAGTGCTTTGTTCAGATCTGCAAGAAGTTGACCACTGCCATTGTTGATCTCAGCCGCCAGGATGGAACTTGTAGCCGCCAAAGCTGGAACGCCCTGTACAGCTGGCCACTGAAGTGCTCCCAGAAGGCGACGTGCTCGAGAAACTTCAGCAGCAGAAAGTTTCTTTGCCAGATCTTTCCCTTTTGGGATCGTCACCGGGTGAACCTTCCGCATGTAGTCGTGGTAGTCGAGGCTGAGGCCATTCTCGGTCTCCTTGATCTTGCCGCCGCAGTAGACCGAGTCATGGTCCTTGGAGAGCTCTTCCCATTTTCCAAAATGGAAAGTTTTCCTCAAAACACGAATGGCCTCCTGGAACTCCTTGTGGGAACGATTTCTAGCGACGAGAAGATCATCGACATGGAGGACTACACATCCTATATCAGCATTCCAGCTACGCTGTAGTAGCAGAACAGGCAACGATCAAGCGGATTGGCCACCCAGTGGATGGACAGCAATCGTCGGCTGGCTTCACGACGCCAAAGAAGTGGAGCGTCTGCCAAAGCATACGCGGATTTCACCATCCGCATAAAGGTTGGGCCATCCCCCCGTCTCTCCAAGGAGCGGCGGGCAGTCTGATGGAAGTCTGACCAAAATACGTCTCGAAAACGTAGAACCTGAGAGGAAGGCCATCTTGACATCGCCTGCGTAGAGTGTCCAACTCATCACCGGCGCGAGCGCGAGGAGGACAAACTTGGCCTGTGGAGTGGCCGTCGGCGAAGAAGTCTCTATGGACCCCATATCGGGGCTGGAATCCTCTCAGGACGAGGCGCGCCTTGGCGCGTGGCGCGGTCCCCGGCGGACCCTCCTTGAAGGTCAAGGACCCAGCGCGCCGAAATGGTGCGCGAGGTATCGCCAGGCTGAGGATCTTCAAATTCCCAGACCTTGTTGGCGAAGTATGACTGAAGTTCAGCCTTCTTGGCTTCAATCATTTCGGTCCTTTGACTCACTGTGAGCTTCTTTGCGGAAACCTCTCGAGAAAGCCAGACTTCATCCATGACCAGGTCGCCAGTCATGACAGCCCAGCCCTCCGGCAAGTCGTTGGCGCCACCATCCACGATACGTCCTCCACACACAGCTCATCATCCTCCTCTGGCACTGGGATGCTTTCAGGCCTCACTTCGGGCCTGGCAGGCTCGACTCCAGGAAGAGGAAGCAAGGTGGAGGAGGGCATGGCAGTAGAGGAGGCGCCACGTTGGTAGGTGCTTTGGCTGCGAAGGCGCAAGGGCCGGTGTGGGTGGGGCACCTTCGGGTCAGGTTCTGCGGAGCTGAGTTGGCGCCATCGAGGAGGTTCACGTGCGCCGGCCATCGCCTGCTGGTAGAAAAGCTGCCTGCAGCTGTGGTTGTAGTACAGGTTGCGGGCCGGCCTCGTCGTCGGCATCGCTGTAGTGGGCGGGATGCTCCGAGGGCTCGTAGTCCATCGAAACATCATCGTCGCGGGCCTCACCCAGGACATCTTGCATGGCCGGCCCGGGTTCAAGAACGTCACGGAACTGTGTGGTGCTGCGGGCACGTAGGTCACGTAGAGCTTCCATGGCCGCGGCGGGGTCCGCAACAGTGGCATAGCCAGTCTCCTCCACCACAGGTCGGACTTGATGGGGAGCGCAGCGAAGAAGGTTCGTGATGGGCGACCCAGACCACCACAACCTTCTTCTCGTCGTTGGACTCGTGAGCAACAACTCTTGCCGGTCCACGCCACTTGTTCTTTTGCAAAGTAGGAAGCCCTTGCACTCGCAAATAATAGCATCGTTGACCGACTCCAGCAAGTTCAGCTTGTTCACGAAAGGTCTTGTTCATGGCCCGTCTGAGCCGAAAGTCGGTGTCGGCCTTGAGGAAGGCTTGCTGAGCAGCCAGCCTTCTTCTCTGCGTCTCGGCGAAGTCTGTGGGGGCACGGATGTCATCGCCACACGGGTTGAAGAGGTCAGCCGACAAAGATGTAGCCTGCATGGGAGATCTTCCAGTCACCCATTGATTCGGCGTGTACCCGTTGACGAAGGACATGTTGTTGACCTGGGCCGGAATGTACACAAGAGCCTCCTTGAGGTTGTCGAAGCTGCTCGTGCCCTTCTGCTCCGTGTACACCTCGATGGCACGGGGAACTACCTGGCGCTTGCGCTCGACAGCACCTAACCAGGAATGAGCCTCAGCCGGTGCCACTTCCTGATGCCCAGCCTTTTGCTTCGTCCACCCTCAGGTACTTCAGACATCCAAACTGTTTAATCCAGGCGCGTTCCACGCCCTTGATAAAGTCGGTGCCCTGCTCTGAATGAAGAAGACGAACAGCAATGTAGCGAGTTGCCTGGTCCATCAAGGTGAGGAGGCACTTGCGTCCTGACGTGGTTTCTATCCACGCGCTGTCTGCACAAAGCCGATCTCCAAAGCGTCGCGCTGTGCGCCCCGCAGCCGGAGGCACACTGCCAGGCTTCCTTCGGGAAGCACATATGCCACACATGTATCCACGTGCTGCCGCCTTGACGTTGTCGGTGGCCTGCACTTCTTCCAACACGCGCAACATCTCCGCTGAAGGATGGCCAAGTGAACGATGAAGTCGTGCAATGTAGTTAACAGCCTGTCGACCATGCTTCTTCCGAAGGTCGTTGTTCACCTTGATGGGGTCGTGATCGTGGTCGTGGTCGCCATTCGAATTCGCCACTTCAGCTGACTCTTGTCCACCTTGGGCTTCGTCCTGAGCCACCTGCTCGCTGCCGTCATCCGCCGCCAACACCTCGTCGTAGTCGTAGTCGTCAGCCTCGTCATTCACCATCAGGTGCGCCAGCTTCTTGGCCAGCTTGTTCGGGTAGTTCTCCGCGTGCTCACTCCGGTTGCCGCCATCAGGATGGAGATGTGTATGCTGATGGTCACCGGTGCAGTTGGCCGCCAGGTGAGTGAACATGGAGGCCTTGGTGGTGAAGAAACAGGTCGGCTTCTTGACGGGGCGCTGGTTGCCATGGCTGTCTGGCATCTGCAACTCGTAGCTGCACTGGTCCACGTAGGTCGCATGGCCACGCATCCGCGCAAACTCCCGAGTACTCCAAGCTCTCGAGTGCCAGGGGTGTTCGACATGGCAATGACGACCAGCCCGTCGCTGAGCTTCATAGACCGTCGCCACAAAGTTCAGGATGGTGTCGCCTGTAGTCGGCCTCGTCGTTCTGGATGGGCAGCTAGGCTCAGCTCCTGCAAAGGTGACCAACGCCTGCACATTGGAGAGAGAAGGATCTCGTCCAGCTCGAGTAACTTGGCCAGAAACTGTCGCCTGTCCTTGGCCCTCTCGAAGTCCCATCCAGTCTTCTTGGAGAACGTCTCCACGCGTGCTCCAAGCTGTCTCGCCCCCACACTTGTCTGACCCTTGCCTGCGAAGACTTCCCACACCAACTTCTGAGTCGCATGCATTTGCTTGCCCTGCTTCAGAAGTCGTTGTTGACGCTTGTTCGCCTCCGTCGCGGACAGGATCAAAGTGTGTAGCTTGCCCTTTGTCAAAGGCTTGAGGCTGCCAGGCTTGTCGTCCAGAAGGTGGTTCTTCGTGAAGTCGCCCTCCGAGCTGTGGATGTAATTCATCTGGTCCTCGTGGTTGGTTGTCGATGGCATCCTGATTGCCCGTGGTGTCGTGGTTGTGGTTGTCGATGGCATTCCGATTGCCAGCGGTGCGTTGTAGTGGTTACCGTTGTCGCCATTGTCGATGGTCACGTGGTGGCGCGTGTCGTGGTAATCTGTCTCCTCCAGGGCCTTGTCAGGGCTGCTCTCTCGGAATTGGGCTCATCCAAATTCCCTGTCTCAAGGTCCGCTCCAAGGCTCCAAGGTGCTCAGCAAGCATGTCGCCGTCGTCGAACGCAAGCACGTCATCGACCGCCAGGGGGTTGCCGAAGTCGACGTGGTTGTCGCGGTCGTCCGGAACCAGGATCTTGGCATACTCAGTGTCGGAGTTGAGGATGCCCATGTCCTCCACAAGTTCCAGCTGATGTTCGCCACGATGGCCCACTGGGATGGGTTGCCAAGAGCAGCCAGGCCAACGCATGACGCGGTTCTCGTAGTCAACGGTGATTCCAAGTTGTTCCAGAGCAGGTCGGCCAAAGAGGATCGGGGCATTGCCGTCAATGACATAGGTCAGGCCGGACCTTCAGCTTCTTGCCTCCAATCAACATCGGCAGCAAGACGCAGTAGTTGGAAGTGCCAGTCGAAGAGTTGCCATAGCGGAAAAGCTTTCGACAACCAAACACCTCGATCTTGGTCACAGGTCGAAGCCGTTCTCCACCAAGTAGCGCATGTACTTCTTGATGCTCTGTCGACTGCCAAGCACCGAGGATGCGCCGCCGTCCTGAACCGCGAGGTTGCTCGACTCGACGTCGTTGCCGTCGTCCTCGTCAAGGGCATAGGTCTCGACCATCATGACCTCGTCCGGGTTGTTGTCGACTTTCCTCTTCTTATCGCCACCGGAGGGGCAATTCCTTGCCCAATGGCCGGCCTGATCACAACGGAGACAAATTTGACGTCCAACCGCTGCCTGTCCTCGTGCCTTGCCTTTAGACGGTGGCACTGGTCTCTGGCCCTTGTCCTTGCCCTTGGCTTTGCTCTTCCCCTTGCCTTTCTTGCCCTTGCCCTTGAAAAACACACCGGAGGACACTGAGCTCGAGACGGCCTTGTCCACGAGAGCCACCACGGGGTAGAAGCCGCGAGCCACACGCATGGAGTTGAGCTTGGGCTTTGCGTCCGAGTAGGTGGCATAGACATCGTCGAACTCCTCCACGTTGAAGATGTCCTGCGCAGCTTGGTCGTGTTCCGCAGCTCCACCGTAGTAGTCTTGATCGTGGTCAATCCCGGGGGCGCCGTCATCGTAGACCTGGTTCTGGTAGTAGACTTGGTCGTCATCGCCGTCCATGTCCTCGTACCAGTCCTCGCCGTCGACGTAGTCCTCCTGGAAGGAGGCGCCGTCCTTGTGGTGTTGGTTCCGAGGGTCCGGCTTCGAGTCCTGCCCGAGGATAAAGTTCATGGCCTGTTGGATCTTCTCCACGCTGAGGTTCTCTGCGCCGACGTTCGTCAGGATGAGTTGCCTTTGCTCCTTCGAAATGCCAGCTTTTCGTAAGAACCACCAAGCCTTGACCTTGTCCGGCAGGTCCACACTGTGGGTTGAGCGCAACTGCCGCTCCGCTCTTGCAAACTCAGCCGTGTACTCCTGCAGGGCGTGGTTTGCCTTGCGATGTAGACGTACGAAGAAGTTCTCGAAATCTTCCGGGAGCTCTGTCAGGGCATCGTACTTGAAGCCACGATCCAAGCGATCAAAGACAACCTTGTAGCCTTCATCGCCCTCCAGCGAGTCAATGGGAATGTCGTCGACCAAGTCCCACGCCTTGCCAGTCATGGGTGACGATGTTGAACACGGTTTCTTTAGATCGCCCAGCCAGAGTCATCTTTCTCCTATAAATCTCACATCGCCTTCGACCTTGTAGGAGCGCTGAGTATTGTCGAAAATCGGAACGAAGTTGTCAGCCTTTACAGTGCTTTGTGAAGCAGAGGATGACGCCTCTTGAGCGCCCTCCGCCGGCATGGCTTGCTGAGACAGTCCTTGGAGCGAAGGCCCTATGCCAACGCTCCGCTGCCAACTTCAAGAATTGCACAACAGCTTGCAATCCAAGTCCAGCGCACACAAAGTCACAAGACGAGTATGTTTTGCAACAGCAATCTAGTCCGTAGCGCTTCGGGCTTTGTCCCTCCCTTTTGGGCCAGGCGGCACACACGGTATGCGCCTCTGTGCAGTGCTTGGCAACGTCGAAGCCTGGCAGGACTTTCACAGGGGTTATAACAGGGATCCTAATCTTACGGCCCTTAAAAGGAGGGGGTTTAATTAATTACGGGTCTACATTAAGGATTTTGGGGTATGGAGCCCAAATTGTAGGGACTGTGTACCGCTGCAATCATCTACAACGAGCAGAGATGCGACCCACAAGATACTGCTAATGTAGACCCATGATTACTTAACCCCTTCCTTTTAAGGGCCGAAATATTAGGATCCCTATTATAATCCCGTGATCCCTAACCCCTATATCACCCCAATACACTATATAGTAGTTTCAATTTTCTTTTCCGTTATCCCTATTATAATCCCTATTAAGGGGAGGGGGTCTATTAATCAGGGGTCTGGGTTAGTAGAGGCAGCACGAGGGGGAGGGCAGCGAGCAAAAAGCCCTAGATTCACTTTAGGGGTTTAGGGTTTAGGGGGTTAGGGTTTAGGGTTGATGAGACGAGGGGTTTAGGGGTTTAGGGTTTAAGGGGTGTAAGTGTTTTTTTGGCGCGCCTTTTCTCCAGCAGTTAGGAATGGCCATTGTTGACCAGGCGGGGGCAGTTCCTTACCAAACAGCCTCTTTCAGATGTCACGGTCCATCTCCAGCTCCCACTTGAGTAGCTTTTTTCTAGTTAGATAGGGATAATGGAAAAGAAAATGGAAACTGTTATAGTATAATAAGGTATATGTTGGGGCTATGTTGGGGTTATATTGAGAAATGTTTTTTTGATGGTTAAGCCTAGTAGGATTACATTCCTTATATAAAATACTATACCCCAAAAGGAGGATATAATCTTCCTCTATATTGGGGAAAAGGACCGGAGAACCCCACATGTGTAGTTTAACCTAGATCTAAATGAGATATCATTAGGATAGCGTCGCCCGGCGATATAGGAAGA